TATCTTCTGCTTCTGTTAGGTCCATACCATTTCTGTCCTTTATTGAGCCCATCTTTGCATGAAATGTTCCCTTGGTATCTCTAATTTTCCTGAAGAGATCTCTAGTCTTTCCCATTCTATTGTTTTCCTCTATTTCTTTTCATTGATCGCTGAGGAAGGCTTTCTATCTCTCCTTGCTATTCTTTGGAACTCTGCATTCAAATGGGTGTATCTTTCCTTTTCTCCCTTGCCTTTCACTTCTCTTCTTTTCACAGCTATTTGTAAGTCCTCCTCAGACAACCATTTTGCCTTTTTGCACTTCTTTTTCTTGGGGATGATCTTGATCCCTGCCTCCTGTACAATGTTACGAACCACCATCCATAATTCTTCAGGCATTCTATCAGATCTAATCCCTTGAATCTATTTGTCACTTACACTGTATAATCTTAAGGGATTTGATTTAGGTCATACCTGAATGGTCTAGTGGTTTTCCCTGCTTTCTTCAATTTCAGTCTGAATTTGGCAATCAGGAGTTCAGGATCTGAGCCACAGTCAGTCTGTTTTTGTTGACTGTATAGAGCTTCTCTGTCTTTGGCTGCAAAGAATATAATCAATCTGATTTTGGTATTGACCATCTGGTGATGTCCATGTGTAGTCTCTTCTCTACCTTCAGGTAAATTGCCTATCTCGATATCTCAATATTTAGTTGTTCTTCTGGGGTTTTATCTTGTTGCTTCGTCTGGAACATACTTCTCTGCTGTCTCATTTTGTGTTTGTGGTCTCCCTTCTGTAGGCTGCTGGATTGTAGTTCTTGCTTCTCATGTCTGCCCCTTGGTGGGTGAGGTTGGTTCAGGGGTTTGTATAGGCTTCCCGGTGGTAGTGACTGGTGCCTGCCAGCTGGTGGATGGGGCTGGCTCTTGTCCCTCTTGTGGGCAGGGCCATGTCAAAGGGCATGTCTGAGGTGCCTGTGGACTCAGGACAGCTTTAGGCATTGTGTTGGTTGATTGCTGGGGCTGTGTTCCCACCCTGTTGGTAGGCCTGAAGCATCCCCAGCACTGGAGCTTGCAGGCTGTTGGGTGGGGCCAGGTCTCCGTACTAAATGGTGACCTCCAGGAGAGCTCACGTTGAGGAATATTCCCTGGGGCCTCTGCTGAATATTCCCAGTGGGCCACAGCCAATCCCCGCCTCCCCAGGAGACTCTCCAAAACCTACAGGTAGGTCTGACTCACTCCTGTGGGGTCACTGCTTTGCCTTGGGTCCCAGGGCACATGAACCCTTGTGTGCACCCTTCAAGAGTGGAGTCTCTGCTGCCCTCAGTCCTGTGGAGCTCTTGCACTCAAGTGCCTCTGACCCTTCAAAGCCAAACGCTATGAAGACTCCTCCTTGGGATGCCAGACACCCAGGCTGGGGAGCCTGGCATGGGGCTCAGAACTCTCCTCTGGGAGAACCTCTGCAGTATAATTAGTTTCCAGTTTGTGGGTGGCCTGGTGGGTACGGGATTTGATTATATTGTGACAGCACCCTTCCTGCCATCTTGTTGTGGCTTCTTTGTTTTCGGATGCAGATTATCTTTTTGGAAAGGTTCCAGTCTTTTTGTTGATGGTTGTTCAGCAGTTGGTTGTGATTTTGGTGTTTTCGTGAGAGGAGGTGAGCTCAAGTCCTTCTGTTAATACTCTGCCAGCTGTCTCCCTTCTCCTGCACTATTTTGTTTTTACCTTTTCACCCCTAGGAAAATTATAAATTGAGTTTTCTAAAAGAAACATATTTATAAAAATATAATTCATATTAAAAATATTTAAAATGTATCTGAGAAAAAAACACATGTATAAATGTTCAAGGACAATAATCCTTCAACTCATGATGGATAAACAAAATGTGGTATAATGACATAATAGGATATCAGTCAGCCATGAAAAGAGTGAAATTCTGACTCACACTACATCATAGGTGAACCTAGAAAACGTTCCACCCAGTGAGAGAAAGAAGACACAGCAGGCCACATATGGTATATTCCATTTATGTGAAACATCAGAAAAGGCAGATCCATACAGACACAAGTAGTTTAATGGTTGCCAGGGACTAGAGGGGAGGAACTGGCACTGTCTGCTAATAGGTACGGGTTTTACCTGGGGGAATGGGATAGAAACGTTCTGAAGAGTGGTGGTGGTTGCACAACGTAATGAATGTCCTAAAAACCACTGGAGTGTACACTTGAAAGTGCAGAATTTTAGGTTGTGTAAGTTATATCTCAGTTTTTTTTAATCCTTTTAGGGATTTCCCTGGCAGTCCAATGGTTAAGACTCTATGTTTCCACTGCAAGGGGCACAGGTTTGACCCCTGGTCAGGAAACTGAAATCCCATATGCCGAGCAGTGCAGCCATTAAATAAATAAATACTTTTTAAGTTCTTCAAATTTTAAAAAGAACAATAAGCTCTTGGCTACACTACCTCTGGAATTAGATCTCAAAAAGCAAATTCTGTCACCACCACCCTTGCCTCCATCCTTTAATAACAGACTTATGAACATACTGTGGGTGGGAGGAAGTTAAGAATTCCCTGAACAAATTCATTCAAGCAAATATTTATAGGTGCTCAGGATACAAAGACTACAGGTAGTTCCACCCTGTCCCTACACACAGAAAGCTCCCTGTGCAATCGTGTGCAGACCTGAAGACACAGGAGTGTCTGTGCATGTCTGCAAGGTGCACTTGGGTGTGGAAGGCGTGTGCCCACCTGAGCCAGCTGAGCGGGCCCTGGTGAGCATGGGGCTGGGGTTGTGCCATGCCTTGGACTCACCAGTTCCCACAGCAGTGCTGCTAAAGCAGTTTGACATGTCTTGCTCTCTCAGGCCCAGGGGCGGATCTTTGGGAAACTGAAAGAAGAAAACTTCTTTAATCCCAAAGAGGAGGTGAAGCTGGAAGCCCACATCCGAGTGCCCTCCTCTACAGCCGGCCGTGTGATCGGCAAGGGCGGCAAAACCGTGAGTGTGCTCTGAGCTGGCTTTGTCTCCTGGCCCGACTTCCCTCAGACCCCCACCCCTGACTCTGCTAGGACAAAAACGTAATCAGCATCATCCAGAGCTGCGGGCCTCAGATTCACAGTGCTAAGCCAGACCCCGAAAAACCAGGGTCCTGAGTCCAGACAAGCTGCATCTAGGCTACAAGCTGGGAAGTGAAGACAGGGAGCCACCTCCTGCCCCTGGAAACCCACACACACAGCAGCGGGAAAGAATAGGGACCAGAGTTCCACCCAGGTCCTCGGACATGCCTTGGAGATACTGCAATGAAGCAAGTCACACGTTTTTTGGTTTCTTCCTCCACAGGTGAATGAACTGCAGAACTTAACCAGTGCAGAAGTCATCGTGCCTCGTGACCAAACACCAGATGAAAATGAGGAAGTGATTGTCAGAATTATCGGGCATTTCTTTGCCAGTCAGGTACCTGTGCTGTGAGCGTCCAGTCTCTCCTGCTAATCTCTTGTCAAGTCTCTAAGCTCTTGGTGACCTGTCGGGTGGCCCCAGGCCCTGCGCACGCCCCTGCCCTGACCCCCCATGCAGATGGAACAGGGCAGGGGCGACTGTTCCTCAGCTTACTGTTGCTCTCCCGGCTCTGCTAGAGGAGGCTGAGGAAGGGCGTAGAGCTTTGGAATCAAGCGAGTACAGTTCAGCCTTTCAAATGCTGGACTGCAAGCTCTTGCGTTCCCTCATCCTCCTGACCAGGCCTCAGTCGCAGCCTTTCCCTGCCGGGAGTCACTTACCAGGAAGGGTCACCCTTGGACCCTGAGGACCAGCCTGGCTGCCACAATGACACTGTTACAGGTTAAACGCTCATCCTAGGAAACCCGTGTTTCTCTTTCCTCGCCTCTGCTGCACGACACCCCTCATTAAGACTCAGAGCTCCGCACAGCTGCTGCTCGTCCAGTCAGAAGGGCCAGCCCCTCAGCATCATGTGACCTGGTTCTTGCTAATGCTTTGTTATGGATGGGGTAGGGGTGGGACAAAGCAGAGTCCAGTCCCCATCCTGAAGGAGCAGAGGCAGTCTCCACTGACATGCCAGGTCTGTCTGGGTGTGAGCCCACATTCCCAATGCCATGCTCTGTCAGGCCCTGTGACGCTGCCGCAGCCCCATGACCCACAGGCACTCTGAGACTCCTACAGTCACCGGCTACGTTGCCCCTGTGGCTCCCCCCTCCCAGCCCTGGGCACAGGTCTCAATGGCAGGGCTCTCCCTGCAAAAGGAGCGCCAGGGTGGGTGACAGGGCTGGTGTGGGTTCATGTGTTTTCTCCATTGTTCAGGGTGGAGTTAGTGTCTGGGCCAGTTTCTCACTTTCTCCCCATGTCATTGACTGTCATATCCCCGCTATACACCACACTCTAGGAAGGCAGCGGGGTGGGGGGCAGCATTGGACACTGGAGTGAGTGTAGCTAGGAGGGACGATGCTGTCTGACCTCTGCAGAGTCCTGAGTCACTGATGCCCTGGTTGTGGTTCCTGGGATCCCACTTTCTTACCTTCCACCTAGCAGCCTTGGGGTGGGGGTGGGGAACTCTGCCACTTTACTGCAGTAGAGTCCAGATGACACTTTCCCTGCCGGGAGTCTGAGGTTACCACCTCCTCCCCACAAGTCCCAAGCCCACTCTCCCACTCCCCTCTGCCTGTCCTCAGAACTGGGTTCCTTTTCTCCCCCCACCCCCCTCCTCTCCCTTGCTGCAGACTGCACAGCGCAAGATCAGGGAAATTGTACAGCAGGTGAAGCAGCAGGAGCAGAAATATCCTCAGGGAGTCGCCTCACAGCGCAGCAAGTGAGGCTCCCACAGGCACCAGCAAACAACGGATGAATGTAGCCCTTCCAACACCTGACAGAATGAGACCAAACACAGCCAGCCAGATCGGGAGCAAACCAAAGACCATCCTGAGGAATGAGAAGTCTGCGGAGGCGCCAGGGGCTCTGCAGAGGCCCTGAGAATCCGGGGGGCAGGAAGGGAGGCGGGAGGGCAGCTGTGTCGAGGCCCAGCCTCCCGCCTCCCCCGGGGCCTCTGCAGGCTTCCCAGCCATCCACTTCACCATCCACTCGGATCTCTCAACTCCCACCACGCTATCCCTTTTAGTTGAACTAACATAGGTGAACGTGTTCAAATCAAAGCAAAATTCACACCCTTTTCTTTTTGTGGAAAATTGTCTCTGTACATGTATGTACATATTAGAAGGGAAAGATGTTAAGATATGTGGCCTGTGGGTTACACAGGGTGCCTGCGGCGTTAATATATTTTAGAAATAATATATCAAATAACTCAACTAACTCCAATTTTTTTTAATCAATTATTAATTCTTTTTTCTTTTTCAAGAGAAAGCAGGCTTTTCTAGACTTTAAAGAATAAAGTCATCCTCTGGGAGGTCTAATGGTTTAGTAAGGAACTTCAAGGCCACCCACACAAAATTCACCTGGAGGGAAATCTCATCGAAAGGACACTCACAGCAGTTCTGGATCACCTGTGTATGTCAACAGAAGGGATACCGTCTCTCTGAAGAGGAAACTCTGTCTCTCTTCATCCCTGTCTAACTCTCACACCCATTTCTCTTTGCTTCACAGGTTTTAAACTGGTTTTTGCATACTGCTATATAATTCTCTGTCTCTCTCTGTTTATCTCTTCCCCCGTCCCCTCTCCCTCCCCGTCTTCTCCATCCCCATTCTTTTTAATTCCCTCATCCCTCTGTCTCAATTCCCATATCTACGCACCCCCCAGGCAAAGCAGTGCTCTGAGTATCACATCACACAAAAGGAACAAAAGCGAAACACACAAACCAGCCTCAACTTACACTTGGTTACTCAAAAGAACAAGAGTCAATGGTACTTGTCCTAGCATTTTGGAAGAGGAAAACAGGAACCCATCAAACCAACCAAACAAACAAAAGAAAAATTCCACAAAGAAAGAATGTATTTTGTCTTTTTACATTTTGGTGTATAAGCCATCAATATTCAGCGAAATGATTTCTTTCTTTTTAAAAAAATATGGAGGAAAATAGCAATTTACACGAGGTCGTTGGCCCAGGGCGTTAAATTTACAGATTTTTTTAACGAGAAAAACACACAAAAAAAGCTACCTCAGGTGTTTTTTACCTCAGCACCTTGCTCTTGTGTTTCCCTTAGAGATTTTGTAAAACTGATAGTTGGAGCATTTTTTTATTTTTTTAATAAAAATGAGTTGGAAAAAAAAATATCAACTGCCAGCCTGGAGAAGGTGACAGTCCAAGTGTGCAACAACTGTTCTGAATTGTCTTCCGCTAGCCAAGAACCTATATGGCCTTCTTTTGGACAAACCTTGAAAATGTTTATTAAAAAAAAAATGACAAAGAAAAACAGAGAGAGAAAATATTGGAGATGTCCTGAATTTCAATAGGGTACGCGCCATTAGGGCTTTTTGCGCTAAAGGATGAACATGTACTGGTTTATGTGAACAAGCCATTTTACCACCAGACTGCAATGCCAGTTTCCTCTACTGCAAACAGTGTTCTGTGACAAAAACAAAAACAAAAAAAAAAAGAAATATATCCAGCTAACCAGATCCTGGTGTTCGTCTCTTATTTTACTAAGTATCGCCCATCCCTAGGCATCAGCCGAGTTCTGCCTGAGGGGACTGTGGGGAAATGGGTGGCATGTGCTGTCAGGACTGGGAAACTACACTGAGGAGGCCGGCTTCTCCAGGCCCGTCTCAGGGAGAAGCTACACTAGGTCAGTGGTGTTCAGACTGTTGTCCTCAGACCAGCAGCATCAGTATCACCTGGGAACTTGAAAATGCAGACTCTTGGGATCTACCTTGAGTCGGAAATTCTGAGGGTGTTTCAGGGAGCTCTCTGGGTGATGCCAATGTGCACTGAAGTTTGAGAGCCACAGAACTAGAGGGCTGGATACTGACTGTGTAGTAACTATGTAAGGCCAACCCCTGTCCTAAAGAAACTTTTAAGCCTGGCCAGGGAAAGAGCTTATTTTTGTGTGAGGGAAAGGAAGAGAGACAACATGCCTGGCAACGGAAAGGACAAGGTACTTCCTTCACCCCAGCCCTCCACAGAAGCCCTGTGTTCAGTGTCTCAGGAGATGTGGTGTGTAGGCCTCAACATCCCTTCTGTCCTGCTTCGTTTCTCTCCTACTCTGCCTATTCTCTCTGGAGAATCTGGCTTCTTCCAACACGGAGCCATGGAAAGGAAGGATGGAAGAGGCTGTTTGCAAATTAGAAGAGGACTCCAGCACAGAGGGAGAACTTAAGAACATAAGAAAAAGGATCAGTAGAATAGTTAGACGTTTGGAGAGGTTTCAAAAAGGAAATGATAAGCCCTAGACAGAAGGCATCTTGATAGGACAGAAAGCAAGGGTGGAAACACTGGACTTTCTAAGGGAAGCAGGGGAAAATGGATAACCTGGCATCAACTAGGATGTAAATGACTTGGTGATTGAGTAGACAAAGATGGGATAAGGACTTAGGAAATATGGAAAGCATTTGGCATAGTCTTAATTCATGCACCCTGGGGAGGGACATTCACATGAACGATGATGAGAGAAGCCCAGAACCTAAACTGTATGTGCATTGAAATCTTTCACTGTCTAATTTCAAGCCTAATGGAGATTTCTTTGACCTGCTAATATTTAACAACACTGCAAGTGAATCCCTGATGTTTACTGTCAGTTGCTGCCTTTTATTTCCTCTCTACATTCCCCTTAAAGTGTTGGTAGATTAAAAACTCAAGACTTACCATATGCGAGTTAATTTTCTATTCTAGTTCACATCAGCCACATAAAGTCACTGTCTCTAGAAGCAATGAGTGCTCTTAACAGCTTTTGTTCTGACTGATTTGGCCGGCAAGGGTTGAAACCTCATGGAACAAAACAATATTCTAACTTGACCTTGATCTTTCTGTATTCTCTTGTAAAAGCAGGGATTCAGGGTCCTTGGTTTGCTCCCATTTTAGGATCTAATCTTCTCTCTGGGATGTTGCTGACAATAAACAGTGAAGAATATCCCCATTTGCCTCCAATAACTTCTGATGATCAGGGCAAACTCTGTAAAACCAAACTCAATCTGACCCCTATCCCAGTTTATCTATAATCTCAACCATTTCCAATATGAAAGACTGCCTGACTTCTGTGACTCCTGAATGTCCCTGATCCTCCAACAGCTATAAAACTACTTCCAGTCACCCTCACTGAACCTGGCAAAACCTATTCTCAACTCTACATTCACAGCGCAGCAGTATTGGGAAAGGACTATTGGGGTAATTTGATCCACGTTCCTAGTAAGGAGTAGTGTCCTTTAAACTGTTGGCAGTGCCCAGTCACCCAACACGGGGAACTGCGACTTCTAAGGCAGACAGTTATGTCGACGCACAGCCTAGCCTCATAGATCTGTCTTCTGGTGGGAAATCTGCTCACCCTACAACCATCACACACCAAACCTACTCCATATTACTTAATGCCTGAAGACAGCTGCCTTGTCCTCCCTTCTCTCAGTTCCTCCAGTCATCCTTCATCTCTAGGACTTGCTTTCTCTCAGATCTGAAAAATCATACTGTGAAGGAATACAGCCCCAGCTCCTGCATCCTACACCCTCGAAAGCCACAGCAACTGCTGATCAGCATGGTAGGCCTTGCTCAGCAAAGAGCAAACAGCAAGAAGCTGTGAAGAAAGCTTACTCTGCTATGGGGCAGGCTGAAGGCAGAAATGGGTGCCCCTTACTTTGTACCGGATCTTTACAGGTCTCACATTCTCATCAGGAGAAAAAGGGAGCCCAGGCCCAGATATTTGCTCCCTGCTTGCCCAGTACACCAGCTAAATAACTTTGTACACCTCATAGACTCTTGGAGGCATGTCTCCTCAACTAAAACAAAAATTTGAATACAACAAAGTCTGATTCTAACTGACGTATAAGAATAGACTTCCAAGTAAAAAATGGCCTCTTTCTCATTAAACATCAAGAAAGAATAAAACAGACTCACAACAAAAACAGCTAAACACCAAAAAGCAAGGGAAATCAACAATAATTACAGGCTTTACAGAATTAGAATGGGAAACCTTCAATGCATGGCATGGTCTAGTTTGACGGAACCACTTCTTAAAAAAAAAAAAAGGAAAATGCATACTTGCCATCTCCAAGATGCACCCACCACTTCCCCCTTCCCACTGGGTGGAATGCAGATGTGGAGGTGAGAACCATGCTGGAGCTGGGACAGCCATCTCAAGACACAAAACAAAAGCCCAGTGTCAAGGAAAGCTCCCATAATCATGCCACTGCCCCAGCAGTGCTAGGCTGCTTAGGTTTAAACTGGTATGTGAGACAGAAAATCTGATCTTTCTTAAGCCACTATTAATATGCCCTTTGTTATATCAACAAACTAACCTCTTAATACAACCATACAAAAACTAAAGATCTAGATAGATTTGGCATATCTTTTGGATAGAACTAAAATTGTAATTAGATACAGACCCCCCTTCCCTCCCCAAAAGTTACTTACAAAACAACAAACAGAAATAAAGCTAGTTTCATATATCTCTGTTCCACTACTAAAAGCCAGAAAGCAAGTTTTGAGGAGAAAAAGGGCCATGGCTCAAGAATTTTTATACCCAGTCAAGTTCTCCATGTGTGAAAATGTCAGAAGAATTCCTATATGCAAGGATTCAGATAAGAGTACTCTATATTTCTCTTGTAAATAAGTATATGAAAATTTTTCTATCTAAAAATGAAGCCAAATAAAACTCATGTTTAAACTAGATGTGAGCAATGAAACCAATTAAATATTTAAGTTGTAAACATAAATTTAGAGCTGAATTATAACTCCATTTAAAACTGAATTTAAATACCAAAATTTATCCTTGGAGAGGAAGCAAAATAGTTATAATAATAATAAAGTTCCAAAATACATATTTTGTTAACAAAGACCAAAAATGTGTAAAATGTATATGGGGACACTGTGTTAGGGGGGCGGGGAAAAAATGAAAGGGTCATAAATAAAACAAAACTTGCTAATAGTAGTACTGTGCTAGCAGCAAACAAAAACCCAGTCTCTTTTACTGAGGCCCCCACCCAGACTGTATCCTGGTTTGCCCAAGCAGTACCATATGAACATGAGGCTGAGTTTTAGCCAAAGGAATGGGAGCTTAAGTGGTCTCTGCCACTCCTGGGCCCAGCCCATTACCCTTTTGATGCTCTCCACACGGTGGCTGGATGCTAAGGAGTGAAATGCTGTAAGGCAGGGGTTGACAACCCTTTTCTGTAAACAGTAAGAGTAAATATTTTAGGCTTTGCATGATATAAAATGATGCTACTCCTGGGGAAGAAAATTTGGCAAATTACATATGCTAGATATTTGACCCAGCAATCCCACTTCTAGGAAGCTATCCCAAAGATGATGTGTTAGCAGAAATAGAAAGTGACATGAACAAGGCACATGCAGGCACATGCAATATAGCATTATTTGTAACAGAAAAAGATTGAGCCTAAACATCCATCGTGAGGGGACTGGTAATGAACCACAGCACCCTGAAACAATGGATTATTATGAAGCTGTAAAAGGAACAGAAGAATGAGGAGTAACATCAAGAATAAATTAGGTTTAAAAAAAAAAATCAGCCTAAGTAGTTTTAATATGATTTTTTAGTGTAAAGAAATACAAATGTGTGTGTGTGTGTATGTATTTTTTCCCCCTAAAGGGGACAGTTAGAAGCTAAAACAAAATTATCTACATAGGGAAAGAGAAAGGCAAAACTGTGAACGTTCTTTATTCCACACTTTTGCTCATGGGCTAATGTTTATGTCTTACATAATTTAAAAACATAAGCAAGAAGCAAATCCATAAACAGCAAAAGCAAATAAACCCAACTATGTATCAACTTGATGGCATAATCACTCAGGAAAAAACTCCATCAAGTTATCTTATTGTATTTCACAGGGTAAGATGAATAATTATGTTGATATTGTTAACAATCAAAATTTTTAATGTTACAGTGTAAAATAAAAAACCTTAAAATCTTAATTTGAACTTAAAGTCAGTAAAACAAGTATTTCCTAATCTGTTGTAAAGGCCTAGAAAGACCAATAATCCAATGATAATCAGCATTAATAGTCCCCAAATTCTGATCTCTAGAATTTCTCACTAAAATAAACCCTTTACTAAATGTCCATCTCCAGGTCTAGGACAGGAAATGTGTAAGATGGGCCTTTATCATACCAATTAAGAAGGAAGTGTTCAAAATCAGACTTGTGGGATTCCGTCAAAGGGACACTGGAACTTAAAATGGGGTAATTTGAACATCAAAAAGAATAAAATTAATCAAAACAAAATATGGCTTGGCCAAGGAGGAGTAGGAAGACTGGGCTCACCTCCTCTCATGGGCACTGCAAAATAACAATTTACAGAGCAATTATGAATGAGAGAAACCAGAAGTCTAGCAGAAAAGATTTACAAATAAGGATACAAGGAAGGAACGACAACGAGACAGGAAGGAGCAGAGTTGCAATATAGTCAAGACCCACACCCCTGGGTGGGTGACACACAAATGGGAGGTTAATCACAATTG